AACCGCTTCCTTCATTCATGAATCAACTCTAGGCAAGCGGTTTCCTTATATGGAGAAATGGGGGCGTGGTAGTATGCTGATTGCAGATCGCGGACACGCGCCTGTCAATTTAGAATGGTTCTGATGTACTAACATACGCACGGTGGTGAGAACAAAATTGGCCGGTACGCACGTGTCATGAATCCGACGGTGATTTTGCGCAAGTACTTATTTTTTGCGGAGAGTAAGAACATTTCTGCGCAGATAGCCTATTAGTGAATGAGGCCCAATGTCTGTGTGTGGTCTTCCTCCCTCAACCAGGTAAGAGATCCAAGGCTATGAACACAAAATTGATGGGGTTGAGGCTAATAACAGCAAAATCACTACATCTCCAGTGGACACGCACGCTTATCACTGGAGAGCCACACTTGCAACCATTTATCCCCATAGTGGTTTTCCCCCCCAAAACATATCCATATTTTCTTGTTTGGCTTTCAGTTCAGCACCAGTAGGATAATCAAGGTAAAGCTAATTATAATAATATTTTTTAAAAGAATTAGGTGGATAAGATCATCAGCTGTGAGCAGGTATGTAGCATATGTGCAATTTAACAGTAAACCTGCTGCAAGATGTTTTCACAATTATGATTTCATCTTCTATTTATTCAAATATGTATATGTCTGGGAATAAAAATGTTTTTCTCCTCCCTAATGTATGTACATGATAGTGAGACAGCATGATGCTGTGAATGGGGAAGGGGAAGCACCACAGAGACACGTCATCTGTTTCCGTGGAAATTCTGCCCTCATTCCACTTTCACTTCAGAGCAAACAGGAAGACTTTAAAATTAAAAAAAACTTTGTGAGTTGTCTTTCTTGGTGAAAATAAGTAAAGATTATTTCTGTATTTCTGTAAATAAAATTAGTTCCAGTGAGTAAATGAGTTGCCGGAAACCTGACCTGAGCAGCTCTGCAGACTCACAGCATCTGTGAGAGCGAGTAACGTGATGCGATGATTTCACCCAAGGGTCGACTGAAATAAAAGTGAAACTGCGCAGATTGGCTCTACTGGCACACCAGCCACTCGCTCTCCTCTTTGTTCGGTTTGTTATAGTCTACCACATTTGTAGATGGATTCTCTGTCAGAGCTTCACCTCCATGACTGCATCATTCAAGGTGAGTTTTGTCTTCACTATAAGCTTTATATTGGAGCCACAGCTGCGCCCTGCTGCACCAGAATGAGATAAAGATAGAGGTTTAAAAAACCCAAAATGGCCTCATGTAATGTGATTTGATTGGAAAGGAAGTACAGCACTTCTTTGTTATATAGTCATGATTTGGGGTAGTTTTTATCTACATTTCGTGAGCTTTTTTTCTATTTCTCTATTACAAAATGACAGTGAAAGTGACAGTGCTCAAACAATAATGCAACCATATCAGCTGGATGATCTTTTCTTTTTCTTCTATTTCACTTTACATCTTTTTCTTCAGTGATTCTTTATGTATTTCAGTTTTTGTATATTTTACTGTTAAAGCTAGTGTACACATTTTGATCAGATCACATATATCGCCCTTTATAAAATAGCAATTGCAAAGGATTTTATCCACAGTTTTGCGTGACTACGATTTGAATGCCAAAATGTATGATCACTGTTCGATTATAAATACTCAGACAGGCAAATATATGTCTGTATAATCTTTTTAACTGGCTATCCCAGGCCAGTCCGCATTGTGTTAATGCCATCTGCGGTTGATCAAAATGTATATAAGCGCTGTATCATAAATAGCCACCAGAGGTCGCCAAATGCGCCTGACGCATGGGCAACATATATGTATGTAAGCGCGTCTTAAATGCTCAGTAATCATTCACATTTATTAAAAAATGAAAAATCAAAATATAAAATAATACAACTGCTACTAATAAAAAATCTTTAATGGATTAGTTTTGTTTAAATCAGAGGTGCAAGTGCAGTTTACACCAATTAAATTAAGAAGTCCAATATATTTCCATAGTCTAGGGAAGTTCAGTCAGTTTTTGTGATCATGAGCGTCTCTCTCAGAGCCAGAAACCAGAGACTTGTGATGTCACTGAGTGTGAGTGTAAGGTCTGGAGCCACTCCATAGACAATGCCTGATTTAATGGACCCAAAGAATGTTTGTCTTTATTTATACCCAAGTGAGCTTTGTTTTATTGTACTGTTCTCAGTTCTGAAAATGGAAATGTTCCCATGTACTCAGAACCAAGGAAAACATAATAATGTATGTTTTCCTTGATCAGAACATCCCCCTATGTGCTCTCATTGTCAGCAGCTTCAGACTTTATACCCTATGACATCACAAGTTTTAGCACTCTAGTGTTTGGATTCGGGAGATAATATTTTTGGACTGTCTTAGACCATAGATAACGTGAGAGTTCACTTCTTTGTGTTAGGCTGATGGATATATGACGCTCGCCAGAACACGAACACTCTGGTATCGGGTTTGTCTTCTTTAATGTAGGCTTGAGATGTGCAGCTGGTGATGAGGACAGGTGGAGAGGAGTGTGTGTGTGTGTGTGTGTGTGTGTGTGTGTGGTTCTACGGAAACAAGATAAGAGCAAATACTATAAACACCAGCATACTGGGTCAGAACAACAGGGATCTTATGACAAACTACATCATGCATTCACACATATCTACATAGCTATATCCTCCTGAGACCCTTTGTTCTCAAACAGGAATTATACCTGTTGTCCTCATTCACAGGTGCTTGCTTTTTTTTTTCCTTTTTTTTTTTTGCTATCTAGTGGCAGTAAGAGCACAATACACCAGTCCATGTAAAAACAAGATGGCAACCATCTCTGCTGAGTCAGTCTGCAGCCAGTCCCCGACACAAATGTGGACAAGGTCCAAAACCTGATCAAATTTGACAGTTGAAACTTGTTTAATTATGATTGATAGCATTTGTAGTTTGATATGGCAACAAATTTGACCAATTTTAGCAACAGTAACAAGCTAAGACACAGCAAATTAGGAAGTACTCGTTTGAAGTATTAAGGAATTTATCATCAGCTCGTTAAAGGATATTTGGGCTTTATTGCTGTTGACAGTGTTTAGTTTTTTATGCTTATCAAGTTCTTCTGATCCCGAATAGCTCGGAAAAATTAAAAATGCGAACCAAACATAAGTTCAGGTCTCAGGAGGATATGCATACAACCAAACTACATCACTATACAATCCAATTTACCCCATGTATGAATTTTGGAAATGGGCGTAGTTTCCTTTTTAAGGCTATTGGTTACCTTTTTGTTAAATTTTTGAGTGACTCAAACTTTCTTGTACCCTGTAGTTTTTTTGTGCTATTTCATGCCTCTTTTCAACTACATTTCAGAGCAAAATGTACTTTTTACTCACAGTAAATGTAAAAGTTTAAACCAGTGTTTTACTCGCACAATGGATCTGAGTACTTTTTCCACTAATGATCCAAAATATAATGCCTAACAGAATAGTAAATTTAAGTAAATGTAGTTCTCAGATCCTTTACTCAAGTAAAAGTAGTAATAGTGCAACATAAAGATTGTCACATGTCGAGTTAAAGTCCTGCGCTGAAAACGTCACGTAGGTATCAAAAAGCCAAGATAACTAAGATTCAAAATTAGTTGATAGTTTAGCATGCTGATATTTGTTAAAGTTGTTTTTTTTTTTTTTTTTTAAACCTTTGTGCAGGCTAAACTGAGGTTGGTGTTAAAGCATCAGATTTCATGACTGAACACCAGATGTCACTATTGCTACAGCTTCAGATAAACACTACCACGAAGAACCAGTAGATGGCGCCAGAGTCTGTAATATAATCATCATAAACTTCACACGCCTATCTGGTGCTTTACCTTCTGTTAACTGCCTGGAAGAGGAAGTATCATGGTTTCAGCCTTGATGACTCTCTGGCCTGGTGTTTGCCTCGTTTATTTACTCACCTTGAAACATTCTTCCCTGTTTACCTGATCACGCATATTTTCTTTGGAATTTGCATGTGTCCAAATGTTAGATAAAACTTTTCATCGCATTTACATGACAAAGATTTCATAAGAGTCCTGCTGTAATAACAGGAAATTAATTTTCTAAACTAGGGCAGTGGCACTTTGAACCCAACCACCCAGGAGACATTACAGCATTACAGGAAGGTTTGTGCTGAACAAACATGAATCACAGTGGTACAAAATATCACAAACTGAGACTGACTCCCACGTAAACAAAAAAGACCTGCACAATACATCAACAACAAAGATGACTAAAAGATACAGAACAGTTTTTTCTTCAGCAGGCTTACATGCGTGTGTCACGGCATGACTGCTTGTGCCATAAGTATGCCTTTGTCTTGTTTCCGTGTAATCTGTTTTGCTGTTAAATGCCTCTGTTATCAGTAATCATAAGATACTAGACGAGATCTAACAACAGTAAGGTGAATAGATAACAGGCTGCCACATACTGATGTCAAGTTTCAAGTCTTGAAAAGCAAGTTGTGAATATTTTATTGTCTGCAGCTGTGAGACAAAAAGTATGTGACACTAAGATGACTGAAAAATTAATTTTATTAGTGTGCATAGGGACAGTTCAGTCATTGTACCGTTGATACTTTGTACATTTGTGTGACTTTTTGAACCCTTTGAGTGTGAAGTTGTGGTTCTGCAGTGTCTGTCAGCACACCACGAGTTTACACCCCAGTAGGGCCACACACTCAAGAGCCCATTCTCTGATTCTTGCCAGAGCTGCACAAGTGCCAAAACCGCTGACCATCTGAGGGCACAAGATATCAGAACGGGTGGTATTCCCCTTGAAGTATCAAGACAAACCTGCCTCTTTGAGGCTTACCCTTGATAAAGCATATCATCTTATCAGTCTTAATGATGTTCTCTGGTATTTACGGGCAATTTTTGAGTGAAAATTGTAATGACCAAGAAGGTTACTGTCACATTTTAAGACCCGTGCTAGCAAAAGGCATAGTTCATATGGCTTGTCGAGATCACTCAGCATGTTGTGATGTGTCTTCTTGTCCTAAAAGATAAGACAAGCACCAAGACAAGATCAAAATCTTTATTTATCCAGTAAGTCAGTGGGCTTTTTTAAAACACCCTGCCCTCAAATGCCCCCGTTTAAGACTGTATCACACAGTTTTGTTTAGCATGTCATCCTTGTAATTTCCTGTGACTTTCTGTGATTGACAACTTATCAAATGGATCGAAACTGCGGTGATGGAGTAAAACCCCACCCTTCTGGCCTTTTGAGGAGTCTTAAACAAACACAAACACAGGGAGACAATTGTCGTCACTCTGCCCCTCTCCTCGACACTTTTTTCGTTCAAAAAACAGGCAATGCGTCAGGTGGAAGCTAGCTGGTGCAGTTCCCTGAAATAGCACCCTTCAAAGAAAAACACAACGCCACTTTCAGATTATTTTTTTGTAAATGCTGTGGTTACAGAGGCTTTTTACAAAGCTGCTACTGTAAGAGGCAGTGCCACATTGCTCCATGCAGTTAAACCAGTAAGGGAGGGGTTGAGGAGGTTAGAAACCCAGAATTGGATTTCCTAACTCGAGGCAGGTTTCTTAGAAATGCCTCAGCGTCCCCTGTCAACATCACCACCCGCTGGTCAGATGGTAGAACTGCATGGTAGTGCCTTCTCTCAAGTCACGTGATTTATAAGAACTCGAGCCTCCAGCTTATAGCAGGTCACAGTGTAGCTCAGATTCTTGCAGAGACACTGCAAGGCTCTTGACTCAGCAGTTCCTTTTTTTGTTGCACTTGGGCAGTTTTATTTCTCTTATCTGAAGACAGCAGGCATGAGACTTGGGAGTGTGATATGTAGTGCATAATTTGATCTCTTGCCCTCAAATTTCCACTCATCGTGCATGACCCCTAACACTTACAAGTGGGAGTTTTAGCTTCAGGTCTCATGACTACAATCTGAGGTGATAGTGTCATCATATTGGGGGAAATTTTAGAGTCAGGTGCTTCTTTTGGGGCTCTGTTTATCACAACCAAATATAGAACGGATCACTTAGAGTTTCTCATGTAAATATGTTTTGCAGCAAGGCAAGAAAACAGAAATTTGTCTTTAGAGAGCAAAGAAAAGAGGTTGCACTTTTCTTTTTCTTTTTTTTCATCTTGGAATAAAATGGTGTTGTTTTATAACTTGTGAAGAAA